CCACTTACAACATATGTATCATAAATAAATTCTACCATAAAATTATAATTAAGATAAATTCTGTTCCCACTTACAATAAATATATTATCAATCTCGATTATAATTTTATAATAATTTTTCTCTACAATTTTCTTTATAATTTAGTGACGTTGTTGATCCTGTTTGGATTAGATTATTTAGTTTTTCTGGTTTCAACCAACTTTTTAGTTTTCCAGGCACAATTTTAAGCGGTAAGTATTTTGTAAATTTATAATACAGTAATATATACTAATCTATTCATTTCTATTCTATTTCTATAAATTTATATATTCTTTTTTATTCCTTGTAGGTCGTGCCGCTTATGAAGTATATAAACATATGGACCTACTTAAAAGGTCCAGTTCTACTTCTTCTACTACTTCTTCTACTGAACAAGTAATCACTGAAGATAATATTCAACAACCTAAATTTTCTAAAGATCCATTTTCTAAAAAGAGCAAATCTTATAATTTGACAAAAGCTGCTGCTATTAGAATGGTTTCTTTTTCCTTTTTATTTGCTTTTATAAATTTTTTGGCTTGTATATCAAGCTTTATTGCTATTATAAAAGGTTATCCTTTTGAAAAAGAACCTAATAGTTTGGATTTTATTGGTAAGTCTATTGGAATTTTTGTTTTTCTTGTTTTTGGGTGGCCATATAATTTCGAAAAGGTTAAGCAAATTTGGTTAAATGGTTAAGTGCTTTAGTCTCGTTTGTGGGTTTACTTCACTTATATATATATATAAATACCTTCCTTTCATTCTTGATGATTTCTTATTCTACAGTCAAACCTTGCTATAGTCACTGCATTTTATTATTATTATTATTAATATTTTGCAATAAATAAATAAATAAGTTTCATTTAAGATTGTGCATAATACACAATATCAATTTTATTTTTTAATTTCTTCCATTAAGAATACATGAAATATAATTTTATATAACTAATTTGAACTCTGAATCTTCTATTTCACATCAAACTTGGTACTAAAAACTGCCGACTTTTGTATCCGTATATTTACATTGACTAAAGATGTATCTGGCGTATTTTATTGTATTTTGTCATCTAGTTTTGCCAATCTTCTAAGTTTTTCACCCA